AAAAATCTATTTTTGATTTTCAACATAACAAAAGAGGCTTAGCACCTTCAGAGTCACTTGTCTATCTGTTATCACTGCCTGTGATGTCGTTACAAGCTCGACCAACCTCAGCCTCATCCCCATTAAAGCTCCTTTCTAAATATCTGTGGATAATAAGGACCTCCTAAGTTGGGTGGCTGGAATTTATTTCTGGACGACATTTGCATCTCTTGGTAAAGTGATTTCTAGCTGAAGGGAAGGCGCGTCCTCCAGCTTTAGTAAGAACTGTGTGTATGTAGAGATACTGTAACTTAGGAGGTGGAATTTAATTGCAGAAGGGAGTGGCCCCTGCCTTTGTGTGAGCTCACACTTTCCATTAACATCGGTGGGAGTTAGCCAGGCCCACGCAGAGAGAAATGGAAACTGGAACATCTGAGAAAACAAACAACAACAAAAACTCAGAGCTCTGGCATAGAGGATCCCAACAGCAGCAGGATAGGACGGTTGGGGAGAGGGGTTCTGCCAGACGGGCCTGTGCGCCTTCCAGGGCAGGTTTTCTCTCACCTCCCTATGTGGTCTGGTTATGCTTTGAATCTGAAATGTACCAGTTTTCTCTGAGCTGCAGTGTGTACTTTGCATCTGATTGGAAACAGGAGTAATCCTTTGATTGTAAAGATGTATGGGTCTTGGGAGGAGTTTCTGCAAAACAGCACATCTCTGGGTAGATTTACAGAAGAGATTTAAGAGATTTAAAGTCCTTTGAATTGAAGTTAATATATGTCACGGGGTGAACAGTATAAAGGAAAGCTCTTCCAGGAAACACGATCACTAACCCCCCCTCCCCGGGTGGTTATGCTATCTGTATTAAAAAATAACTGTCCTGGCAAGCTTTGAAAGAGGCAGAAGGGAGGGATGGCATGGAACATGAATAAATGTTTTTGCCTTTATTGTTACATGAGGAGAAATAGAGATCGCACATAGATTCTGCTATGGGTAACTCACCTCTCAACCCTCGTCCCCACCATGTTTTTGAGCTGGGGTACCCGACTCGGGAACATTGGGGAAGCTTTTAATTTTTATTAGCTAGAACTTATGCAGTTAATACTTTAATGTGGTCTCTTTATAAAAACTGGGAACGTGACCGATCAGGCTGAGATTTTTTTTCAATCCCACTCTCATCCTCCCCCGTCTTCCTGGCAGAGGAATCCAGCCTGGGATTAAGGAAACTGGAGAACATTTAACAGTGTATGCAATCTTTGTTGTTTGTAGGAATTCCATTACATCGTGTGTCCTGGAAGGTTGTTTTCCCCACTGTCAATGCCATGGGTGTGTCTTATTCTTTCTAACTGTTGCCTGGTGGCCCCTCATATTGGCTCCACCCACCTACGTTTCTCTGGATGCAGGATAATGTGGCGGTTAAGAGCAAGATTTCCGGCTCGGCGCCTGTGGCTCAAGTGGCTAAGGTGCCAACTACATACACCTAAGGTGGCGGGTTTGAATCCAGCCTGGGCCTGCCAAACAACAAGGACGGCTCCAACCAAAAAAAAAAAAAATAGCTGGGCATTGTGGCAGGCACCTGTGGTCCCAGCTACTTGGAAGGCTGAGGCGGGAGACTCGCTTGAGCCCAGGAGTTGGAGGTTGCTATGAGCTGTGATGCCACAGCACTCTGCCTAGGGGGACAGCTTGAGGCTCTGTCTCAAAAAAAAAAAAGTTTCCTATCAGATTCCTGGGCATTGTTCAGAAACTTTATGTCCCTTGGGCCTTTGTTTCCTCATCTGCACGGTGATGTCAGCAGCAGGAGTGTGTATAACAGGGCTGTTGTGAGGATGAGATGCCCTCTGACTGGTGCCCAGCACGTGCTGGGTGAGAGACAGATGTTAGTAGTCACGCTTGTCTCTGGAGGGAGATTTTGGGTGTTCCTGTGTTTTCACCCTGGCAACCTGCCAGCTGGTGGAGTATGGACGTCCTTGCACGTATGTGGCAGCAGGTGTATCTCAAGGGTCCTGTTTCTCCACGGTGTGTGGGAGCGCGTGTTCCCCGAGAGAGATCTGGATGGCAGGGTTTGCTGAGGCCTGTGCGTTGGAAATGAGTGGCAGGTCCTGCTCCTCTGCCCTCCCTCCCGAGCGGCCTCTGGCCTTTCTTGCCCCCGACACCAGGAGAGGACACTTGGTTCCAGCGGGGCTCACCCCCTGTCCACTCTCTCCACAGGGCTTCGTGCTGGCCGTCACTGTCATCCGTGAGGCAGTGGAGGAGATCCGGTGCTACGTGAGAGACAAGGAAGTCAACTCCCAGGTCTACAGCCGGCTCACAGCAAGAGGTCAGCCTCCCGGCTCCTGGGTCACAGGCTTGCGACTCAATCACGGGGCCACTGACAGTCAGGGGAGCAGAGGTCAAGGCCTGGGCTGCGGGTGTGCGGGTGCTGCCTGGTGGGACAGTCACTTGGCACCAGGGGGGCCTCCCTCTGCCTGGGACCTGGAGGGACTCGGGCAGCATCCTCAGGCCTCTTAGAGTTGGGCCTGTGAAAAATCTCCAACATGGAATTAAATTCTGTGTCTTTGGTACCCTTGTTTGCTAATTCCTCTCCTTGTCCCCGGCCTGGCTGAGAAGGGAATGAGGGTCCTTCTCCTGTCCACATGGGAGGACCAGAACAGCTTTCAAAGATACTCTTTCCACAGTGGTTACTTTAAAATCAAACTGTTGCAACATTAGTTTTTAAAAAAGCAACAACAGATTTAAATAGATGTTGCTTCCTTGGAGATTTCTTTGAGGGCATCTTCTGAATCCTTGAGATTGTGATGTGGGGAAGATGCAGTCTGAACCAGAGAGGAGCAACCAGGTAACCTTTCGTCATGGACCTGCTTGCAAGACCGTTCATCTTAAATGGTGGGACTTAAAACTGCACCCAACCACACCCTTGGAAAAGCCACAGAACAATGCAACTAATGTCAACTTCTGTGTTTAAAACTACAATAGAGTTACTTTAAGGTGGTGTTCAGAAGTGAGAGAATGTGGCCTAAAGTTTGCTGATGGGGCTGAGGAAAGACATGATCGATTGTTCCCTGGGATTACCGATCCCATTCAGGGATTACTACTGTTTGAGGAGAGGCTGAGAGCAATAAAAGCTATACCCTACCTTCAGGAAATTGAGAATTTGGGGAGGTAAGATGGATGGATGCCTGTGGCTCAGCAGGTAGGGCACTGGCCCCATATACTGAGGGTGGCAGGTTTAAACCCAGCCCCAGCCAAACTGCAACCAAAAAATAGCCGGGCGTTGTGGAGGGCGCCTGTAGTCCCAGCTACTCTGGTGGCTGAGGCAAGAGAATCACCTAAGCCCAGGAGTTGGAGGTTGCCGTGAGCTGTGATGCTACGGCACTCTACCAAGGGCAATAAAGTGAGACTCT